ATCATCAGTAAACTTAAGTATATTGACTCATCTCTTCACTCAGAAAAAAAGAAGTGTGACCCCACATCCAATTCAACAAGTAATTCTATACCTACTATGTGGAAGGCAGTGTGCCAGGGACTCTTTTCAGGATAAGAAAAACATGTTAAGTGGTGTTGTTATGGTTTTGTCCCAACTGATGTTAAAGAATAATGGAAATACTTGTTCAGTTTCTCCAAATATTATCTTCATATTTCATAACATTCATACCTAAATTGTGTTGTTCTCAGCATAGTGCTAACGTTATTGCTTAATCAAGCTATAATCCATTGCTCTTGAGAACATGACTCAAAATGTATGTTTTTCTGGGTGTTTCTTAAATTATGACACTGGGTTAGTCTGATGGATATGGAGCAATTTGTTAGAAGTACAGTAGTCTGTTATTTTGTAAGATCAGTCTTACATCTTTTTCTAAGAAAGATTTTATCTTTCTTTTCTACCATGCAGATGAGTGTGTGTGTTTGATAGGAATGAGTGAGACATAGCTAAGCATGTATTAATGGCATGATATAAGCAGAACTTCTCCCTCTAGGAAAAAAAAAAAAGCCTTTTTATGCCTGAAAATATGTTGACATGTGGCCTTAGCCTGTGGCTTACATCAACACATGCCATGGTTATCACCTGATAAGAATCAAAGACCTGCGGGTTAAATATGTCCCCTCCCCCCCTTCTCTTCCCCTGTGAAGCCTAACCTGCTATTCAGAGCTATAATAAACAGTGCTTGGCAGGGTTCTTATTTCTAAAGCATTTAGATGATCTTGCTCTTATCTTAATGACTGAAGTTGAGATTGTGTTGCTCCTTTTTTTAACTAAATTCATCTAATTTAATTCTTTATTATAATTGTACATTACTTAAGAAACAGATGTTTACATGGGAGTTTAATTAGTGCAGTTGATACGTACTACATGCAATCAAGTGCTAAAAATAGCATGTTATGTGAAAGTCTTTCAAAGGTTATTGACTGCAATGATGATATTACCCTATGGTGTACTGTCAGTTATATTATAATGAGATTCTGATGGTTAAAATTTTTTAGTCATTTGAAAATGTTTTAGTAGCATATTGTTAAATATGGAATTCCAGAGCCCCAGAATAGGCTAAACACAAAAATACAAGTTTAAGAATGTTTATCATTAATGTAACAATTTTCAATCAGTAGACTTTATATATAAGTAGTTAAAGTGTATGAGCTGTGGAATCAGGCACGTAAGGATTTGAGTCCAGCTCCATAACTTAATAGCTAAATAATCTCAAACAGGTTACTCAGCTACTCTAGTTTTGTTTTGTTGTGTTTCAGTTTTGGGGGAGGGGTTATTTTTTGGTATATAAAAGGGAAATATAACAATACCTACCTCTTAGGAATTGTTCTAAATATTCAGTGGGATGATGATGGTGATGATAAAATAATAATAATAATGGCAGACACTTCTATGATCTTTACTGTGTGCCACACACTGATCTAAGCACAATACATTTTTAAACCATTAGATCCTCACAACCACCTTATCAGTGGATACTGTTATATCTGACATTATATGTTAGCAAGTAATACCAACAAGAACTACCACCAATAAGTCACTGTGTCCTTAACCACATTCTAGTGACAACAGATGCATTGAAATGTTACCATTTCTCTATAGAAATTTCAATTCATATTGTGTATTTTAAATTATATTTAAAGATTTTAAAAACTTTACCTTTTCTATTTTCCTTTATCTTTGTTCTCTTGAAATTCTTTATTTTAATCAAAACTCAGAAACAAGAGGTGATAATCACCTGTTTGTTAAGAATGCATCTCTCTTTAGGTAAACTAAATTTCATTATATTTTTTTTAGCCAAAGGTTTAAAAATATAGAGGCATGGAGATAAATGAGCAGACAGTTAAGATAATGGACATTTTCACTGGCTACTAGAATTTATCAGGGACTGTATTATTATTTATGCTTTTTGTGCTGGGGCTCTATTTTTTAAATTAGCTCTGTAGAGCCACAAAAGAGTAGATCAAGAAACAGAAGCTTGACTTTCTTCTAAGTTACACTAGTCAGTATAAGCAATTTTCACTGCTTTTTCTCTCAGCTAAGTAACTGTGAAGCAGAAGAAAGTAAGAAGACTTGGAAAATAGTTATTGGTCTTTTTTCCATCTTGACCAATAAAATGTGGTGGGTTTTTTGCCGCATATTCAAAACATGATTTGGGAAAATTCCCAAGATAACTATAAAATATATGCAATCTTTGTGGTTTTGGGTATTTGACTTAAAATCTTCCATACCACAATGGCAGCTCATACTGGAGGCCAGAGTCCTAGAAAGTGACAGGTATTCTTGAAGAGTACTTTGGGCTACAGCTGACCCAGGCAGAAAAAAACAGGGTGAAGGACCTCTGGGTAAAAAGAACCTACTGCAGCTCAGCTTAGAAGAAACTTAGTGAAAACTATGAAGCATGCAAGCAAATATTGGAACCAAAATACATGTATGTCTTGAAGACTAATTCTGTTGGGTACTTTTTAAGCCCCAAATACTCTAAATGTAAATGTAGGGTTAGACAACCTATAGCTAACAAAATTGATAATGATAAAATTGAACTACAGTATTACATCATTAAAAGGCAAGAATAGCACCAATATAAAACCGTGGCCAAGTCAAGATACTGAAGAAATCACTAAACCTTCTCTTCACAAAATGGAATTTCAACTATCCATACATGTCCAAGCAGGGTGAGAGCTATGGAACAACCTTTGAGAATCATTCCCTTTATCCACACTTAAAATGGCACAATTTACTCTGCTCATTGTGTGTGGCTGGAGTACAAGGAATTCCCCATGTTTCCATTTCTGTCTACTTTCAATAAGTTTTCCCTTTGACTCAGCACTTCCATCTCTACTAGTAAACCTGACATATGTATTTAAGGAGTGGCCAAAGATATACTTATAAGAAAGTTTGTTGTTAATCCTTAAAAAATACTTGGAAACATAAATTTTATCAGTATAGGTTATTGGTTATATTCTATCAGTACAATGAAATGATGTGTAGCCAGTGAGAGGAAAATGAGAAAGCTTCACATTTACTGAAAGAGAAAAATTTCTAAGATATGTTATTAAGTGGCAAAAAACTAGGTGGCAAACAGTATAATGTAATCCCATATGTGTGTATTTAAAGATGTATAATACATTTATATAGAGAAATGATATTAAGTATGATATATATGTATATAAGTTGAGGTCTGCATTATAATTAAATAGGATAAGGTATATAAAATGATTAGTATCATGCCTACCTTGTGCATAGATAAATTAAAATTGCTGTTATTATTATCTTTAAAGAGCGAGTCAAGGAAAGGATATTTCCTGGGAGGGCTTTTACTGATTTTACATGTTTTTTTTTTTTTTTAAAGATTTTATTTATTTATTCATGAGAGACAGAGAGACAGAGAGAGAGAGAGAGGCAGAGGGAGAAGCAGGCTCCCAAGGAGCAGGGAGCCCGATGCGGGACTCGATCCCAGGACGCTGGGACCATGACCTGAGCCGAAGGCAGACGCTTAACCATCTGAGCCACCCAGGCGCCCTGATTTTACATGTTTTATATTATCTGATTTTTTTGCACTAAACCTGTATTACCTTTATAGTAACATTAAAAAATAGTTTGCTCTTGGGAAAAGATTTGGAAAAATGTATTCACACTAAAGTATTAATGACACAACAAAACGATATTTTTCTTCTGACACAAGATACTGAAGGATTTCTAATGTGGGCCAAAGGGTAACTCCAGTAGTCTTTTGAACAGAGGGGTCTTCCTAAGGTCTAAAAGCAGTTTTGGAGATGTTTGCTTATTCATTCTCAGTGTGACATATACATCCATACTTCTGATTGTATTTCTTTCTTCCTGCTCTCAGGTGTGTGTGTATTTATATGGGACGGGGGTATATATGCATATCACATAAACATTTAGGTTATTACCTTCTTTCGAGAATGGTTGGAAATTTTAAGGAAGAAATGGAAAGAATAACTGAAAGTAATTATTGCTTAGTTATCTCAAGGAAGCAAAGATTCCTTTTTCTCCCTTTCAATCTTTGCTTAGCAAATAAGGATCAACTTGCAAATAATTGAGAAGAGGTATTCCAGCGACCATACCCAATGAGGTACTAAATAATTTATCCCAGTAGAGTGATTATTACAAGGACTCTGAAGAAAAAATATTGACTATATGTATTATTTGTTTTCAGCTATTACTCATGATTCTGCAAACTGAGGTCATTCCAAACACTTATTTATCTTCATAATGCTGGTGTTAAATTTTATTGAAATTCATTAAAAATATGGAAAGGATGCCCATTTGAAAACTTCTGGATGTCAGTTATTTTTTCCAAAATTACAGACTTACATACAAACATTACTTAAATCATGCCTTACTTATGTAGATGTTTGGCTAAATTGATTTGATAGATTCTTTCTAAATTCAGTGTGGGATTAATATGAAATGCATGGACCCAGTTTGTATCTTGAAAATATCTTTCTTATGGTAAATATGATGAGGTTTTGTTGTCTTATTAGGAGAGATGAACTCTTCTTAATTATAATGCTTTAAAGATTTGAGGCCCTAATTGTGCATAAGCAGTATCATATAGAATACACTCATTATGACTGGAGAGGATATTTAATGTAGCTTAAGAGCACAGAATATAGAACCAACTGCTAGGGTTCAAATCATGGCCCTCCTACTTCTTAGCTATGTGATCTTGGACAAGTTACTTACCTTCCTATGTCCTGGTTTCCATTTCTGGTTTCAAGGTTATGAGTAGTAGATGGTAGATACGTAGTCTATTTCAAAAGGTTGCTATAAGGTAATGAGTTACTATTTATAGAACACTCGTACTAAGTCCTTTTTAAAATTTCTTTTTACTGAGGTGTAAAAACTGATTTTTACACTAGTTGGTTTTGATTATTTGTTTCTTGTTTGTATTACAGTTACAAATTATAATACTGTGGTAGAAACAAATTCAGATTCAGATGATGAAGACAAACTCCATATTGTGGAAGAAGAAAGTATTACAGATGCAGCAGATTGTGAAGGTGGTGTGCCAGAAGATGACCTGCCAACAGACCAGACAGTGTTACCGGGGAGCAGTGAAAGAGAAGGCAGTGCTAAGAGCTGCTGGGAGGATGATGGTAAGTTTAATTTTTTCATAATATTCTAGTCTCTTGATTCTTTAAAAAATATATATTAACTGTGAAAAGATAAATTTGATGAAAAGTTTGAAATGATCTGTAAACGTGTCTATTAATCAATAGAAGGTGTCCCACTTAAACAAAAAGTTTATTGTGAAACAGAATAATAGTCATTCTGATTATTTGTGCAATGCATATAAGATATTGAATTTTAGTGTTTTTTTAACCAGAATCAAGCTTTCCATATACTGTTGATATAACTGAACCTACCTTTAATTTTATATTGTGACTTTTAGAAATGAAGAATCTACTTAGAAACCTACAGATTATATTTTGCTACAGTAAAATTATAACATAACTCAACAAAAATCCCCAAAACAGTTAAATCATAGGAGTATTTTTAGTGTTTAAAAGCTTCTTTTTTTTTTTTAAAGATTTTATTTATTTATTTATTTATTTATTTATTTGAGAAAGAGAGAGAGAGAGAGAAACAGCATGAGAGGGGAGAGGGTCAGAGGGAGAAGCAGGCTCCCCGCCGAGTCAGGAGCCCGATGTGGGACTCCATCCCAGGACTCCGGGACCATGACCTGAACCGAAGGCAGTCGCTTAACCAACTGAGCCACCCAGGCGCCCTGTTTGAAAGCTTCTTCCTCCTCCTCCCCCTCCTCATCCTTTCCTCTTCCCTCCCTTCTCCCATAATTCATAATACTGTGAATTTTCACTCAAGTAAAATTTTTACTTTTACTAATCTCAAGCGTGGTTGAGTGGAAGGATTAGTAAAGTCTCTCTACTTACTTACATTGAATATTTAAAATTCTTCCTCATCTGTCAAATGAAGAAATTGGACTATAGTTTTTTCTTCTAGATTGAAAATTCCTCCTCTCTTCTTTTCCTAATAAAACTAATTAAATTATTTAGCCTGTCTTGCCAGGATTTAAACAACAGTGGTGTAAAAACAGAAGAATGTGAAGAAAGCAGGTATTGTGAATTAGAGGGATTGGGGATCAGGAATAGGGGCATCAGCAAAGGCAAAGAGGAGCATGCACAAGTGATCACATTCAAAGTCAGTCAAAGACGAAAGCTCCCCAGCTAGAGTTCAGATTTGGGGAAGTCGGCTAAATAAGGTATCAGAACTCAGTTTAGGCAGTCTGGGGAAATGAGTCAAGTTTGCTGGTCAGAGAATCTAGATACGAAAATGTGGAAGCTTAGATAAAATGTGGAAGCTTAGATAAAATGTGGATCTAATAATAGGCACAGTATAGCAGTAGTTAAGATTTCTATAATAGGACAAATTTATAGCTAACAAAGAACTTTCAAAATCATGTAACTGCCCCGCTCATTTTATAACATTGTTCATTGGTCCATTAAGCAAATTCTGCAGGAATGGAGTTGCAAACTTGAGTAAGACTGTCTCTATATTAAAAGTGCTTATAGTTTAGTGAGTGAGAAGGATAAATAAGTCACAAATTCATTACAGTTTGATGTAGGTGTAAATTTAGAATTCTGTGGAAACATTAAGCAGGAAAATCCAAATCAGAGAGAGGAAGAAAAGTCCTAAAAGAATTTCTGAGTGAAACAGTGCGGGTCTTAAGTTATAAAGGACCAGTAGAGGTTGATTAGGTAAAGGAGAAGTAAAAGAAGGTGTTTCCAGCAGAAGAAGCAATATACATGAAGCCATAGAGGTTTGAACAAGTGGTGTTTACAGAAAATGAGATCAGAGAAGTAAACAAGGAAAAGACTATGAAGGGCACTGTGTGCTAAGTCAAGGAATTTGAACTTTTACCTTAGAAGCTGTGAGAACATCATTGATACATACTTTAGAAATAAGTCTGGTAGCAATATGGAAAATGAATTTTGGAGGGAGAGAGTGTACAGACAGGTAGCACCTTCAGTAAAGAAGCTATGAAAATGCAGGCAATGATGAGAGTTTTGGACTAAAGAAATGGCCCTTGGAATGAGAATAAAAGGGAGAGATTTAACAGGAATGTAGGAGGTAGAGTATATAAGATTTGGTTTGTTATTACATGGAAGGTAACAGAAGTAAGGACTGACAATTCACAGGCTTCTAGAAAGTAGAACCCAGAGAAATTAAATTGCTTATTTATTATCACACTTCATTAATAACAGAGCTATTAACTTGTTAAACTATAATACTGAGCTCAGAACTTTTGGGAGCAAGGATTTTCATATATATTTCCTGTCTGGGGCCAGAATTGATCCACTGGTATAGTTAATCCAAAGTGTTAATATGGAAACAAGAAGGTAATGATTTTTCTGGAAAAGGGGGAGATAGGAGAATGAGGGAAATAGGAAGAAGAAAGATGAAAAATCATTGAAGAGGTTCTGTTTCTGAAAATATGTTGGGATAAGTTATTTGAACTGTCTCACTGAAAATAACTAATGATGCTAGATTTAAAAGTAAATAAATCTTCTTGAAAGCTTTAAAAGAGCTAACTAGATAATAGACATTAATAGATAAAAATCAAAGTGAGGACAGGAGCCCATATAGGTAAGCAGAGCCCAGCATAGAAGACTCTTTGGCCTTAAGGATATTTGCCTACCCAGAGTAACGTAAGATGTGGTTTTTCAGGCCTCTGAGAAGAAACAAAGCCTGGGACCACCTAAAGCTTAATAGCAGATCCTCCCCTAGTATGAATTACATCTTAACAATGTGATGAACTATAGTGAACTCTCTACCATCCTTACCATCCTCAGGAGTTAGCAAACAAAATTGCCTTGGCTAGGGATTGGGGAAATGGAGGACTGTCTCTGCCAAGGAGTAACCACCAGCTGTCTTGGATTGATTTACAATTTAAATTCACATTACTATATGGCCTGATAAGTCTCAAGCCATAACTGAGTTTAAAGTAGAATTGCTGCTAATACTCAGAGGCACCAAGAAGAAGCAAATCCATATCTTTTGGAGGAACATACCTTTATCCTAGTGCTATAGAAATCTCCCAAATAACTTAGCAAGAAGAGAGCAACATGAGTGACAATTACCAGAAACAAAAGGAAGCAGAAACTCACCTGTAAAGACTTTAATTAGTAGAGTTATCAGACACAGATTATAAAATGACTGTAATTTTTCAAGAAAAATGAACAGATTTGAAATTACCTGCTCTGAGAGAATAAAATATAACCAACAGATTTTAAGAAGAACCAAATGGAACTTCTAAAAATGAAAAATTAGAATAATAGAAATTCAGATTCAAAGGATGGATTTTAATAACAAAGTAAACAGAATTGAATAAAGAGTTAAAGATTGGACTATAGGGGAAATTACACTAAATACAACTCAGAAAGACAGAGATAGAAAAATACAAAAAAACAAGATAAGAAACATGAAGAAAATGAGAAGGTTCAATATATGTCTTAATTCTAGGAGAAGAGAGAATAGGGAGGTAGCAATATTTGAAGAGATAATGGCAGAGATTTTTTCAGAATTGACGAAGGACACCAGACCACAGACTCAAGAAAACCAACAAATCTCAAGAAGTATAAATAAATCTACCCCCGCTGACATTTTTGTGAAATTGCAGAACAACCAAAACAAAAAGAAAACTCTTAAAAGTAAATCAGAAAAGTGAGATTGGGTTTGAGAGAATGGCGGTTAGACTGACAGCTGAATTTTCAGTAACCACAATGGAAGCCAGACAATAAAAAGATGCCTGCCAATACAGACTTCTGTATTTAGCAAAAATATCTCTTAAGAAAGGAGGTGAAATAAGGTGATGATTTCAGGCAAGTTTGAAAATAAAAAATTTGTTATCAGTAGACCCTTGTTACTAAAGCAAATTTTAAAGAATATATTTTAGGCATGAGGAAAGATATCCTTCATAGAGGATCTGAGATGTAAGAACAGAGAAAATTACAAATACATGGAAAAAATAGATACAATAGGTACATAGTATTTCCTATGAAAATACTTTAAAAAGTGGATGTGACTAAGTTAATTTCAGATAATATCAACTTTAAGGCTTAAAAGCATTACTATAGACAATAGGATCACTTTATAATAATGAAAGATTAAATTCCCTAATAAAATATTATTATAAATGTGTTTGTACCTAATAACAAGGCTTCAAAAATATAGAAAGAAAAATAGGCAGTCCACAAGGAGAGAAATACAAATCTAGTCATTATAGAAGATTTAACACACCTCGGTTAGTCATTGATAGAATAATCAAACAAAACCAAAGAGGATGTAGATTTGAAAATATGCCTAAGGTGTATAAGCAATGTACATAGTAATCGCAAAACATTTTTCAACTATATGGAATATTTATTGAAAGCAGTTTTTAGAGGGAAATTTTGAACCTTAAGTACATATTTTAGTAAAGGTTCTGGCTAAAAGTTAGTGGGCTAACCATCTATTTTAAGAATTTAGAAAAAGAACAGCAAACTGAAAATTTTGAAAGTAAAAACAAAAAAAAAATGTAAGATTGAAAATAAACCTACAGTACAAAAGGTCAGCATAGGCAAAACTCTGTTCTTTGAAAACTATTGACAAGATTGACCAAGAAAAAAAGAGAGAATATATAAATAGCCAAAAATCAAGAATGAAAGAGGATGGGATGCTTGGGTGGCTCAGGCGGTTTAGCGTCTGCCTTCGGCTTAAGTCATGATCCAGGATTCTGGGATCGAGCCCCACATCGAGCTCCTTGCTCAGCGGGGAGTCTGCTTCTCCCTCTGCCACTCCCCCTGCTTGTGTTCCCTCTCTCGCTGCTGCTTCTCCCTCTGCCTGTGGCTCCCCCTGCTTGTGTGCTCTTTCTGTCTCTTTGACAAGTAAATAAAATCTTTAAAAAAAAAAGAATGAAAGAGGACATAACAAGATACTACAGACATTGACAAGGTAAAAGAAAGTATTGTGAACAACTGCATTCCCATAAATTTGAAAGTATGAACAAGATACTAGAAATTATTAACCAAAACTGGCTGGGGAATAATTGGAAAACATGAATGGTTCTAAAACCTCTAAAGAAATTGAAATGATGGGG